CAGTGAAGTAACTGTGGCTTTAAGATTATCTTTCCAACTATTCACTCTGAACAACTGTACTTCAACTCGCATACATATGGACAAGTGCTACACATCATAACTTTGGCAGAACAGTGGGAGCAAGGTCATACTACTTCCAGGTTTTAGAAGAGTTGCATCGATAGCATTAACTCCGAACTCATTGCTCTCTTTAAAGAAGCCTTCATAAGAACTGCAATTAAGGAAACATTCACAATAACAGCTACACTGAACTGAAATTCTAGATTAATCATAAATTAACACCAGTGTATGTTTTTTTCTTAAGGAAAAGCTTCTAAGCAGGACAGTACCATTATTTCCTGAAATATATAAGGTTGAATAAAAACGTTGACTTCATTTCCTACAAATTAAGCCATTTCTCATGCTTTCCTCAATTATTAAACCTCTGAATCAAAACTGAAAAAGACAGGACTAGATCACTGAACAAGTTAACAAGCAAACAAAACCACAAAGGCAAATTCCAGACAGATCACAACTATAAATACACATGTGCACATAAATGTCAAGGCAGAGGAGCCAAATCCCTCCCCAGAAAAGTTCTTCCACAGTTAAGTATCATAGTATTTGCCAACCCACATTGATGAATGGAATAAATTTACACTCTCCCTACAATAATTTGAAGAAAGCATATCCATATAAAAATTTATTATAAGACCATCCATTTTTTTCCCACAGAAAAAGAATTCGACAATGACTTTTCTCCCCACCATCTTCACCTGTATGTAGCTGTTAAATGAGCTATGTTTATACTTTGGTTTGTGAATAAGACCTTGCACAAGCAAACCCCATTCATTAATTTAATTACAGAAGTATTCAGCAACTAGTTTCATACATAGAAATAAATCCTAGAATTTATAACAGGAGCAACAAATAGTTGAAATGTTTTTTTTAGAGCTAACAACGTGTGAAGTGAGACCTGCAGAGTCTAAGAATCCTTTCTAATCATTCAACAGCCCTTAAAAAAAAATAAGAAGTTGAGTCACACACTTCATACCCAAGTAACTACCCAAATTTATCAGGTTTGTACTCGTTCTCTGGAGAAACATGCTGCTACTGTGATGCAAGTAAGAAGTTCACTGTACATAAGGAATCCAGGGCTGATTTTACATATAAATAATCATAAAGTGAAATACCACAAAAACTAAAAAATAATAATGGAATTATAAAGTTACAATAGACAGTGACACTAACTTTGTTAAGGAGCATTCTTGAGTAACCCTACAATAATTTTGTATTTTCATATTGCATACATTGTGCCTTGGCAACACTCTACTTGTAAGAGATTCAATTTGAATGCACCCTGAAGCATTCACTAGTTTATGTATTATATAAACCATAATTTCTTTCCTAAGGCACACGCAACAGTGCAATTTAATGCAATTCACTGACAACAGAAGCTTGCATTAAAAAGACTGGCTGGCTTCTGATTTTCTCACAGATTAAAAAGGAAGAAATCTAGTGGGAAAGGTATAGTCATGCTTTACAAAAATATCTGCTGAGGGTATCTAAGTCACTGTGAAACTACTTCCTAGGACACATACCTACTATACTTTCCATATTTAAAAAGTCGATATCATTGTCTGGAAAGAACCAGTCTGATTATTTTTGGTTCAGGAAGAGATATTAAATGAAACTGCATGATACAAAGTTATTTAAGAATTAAATTCTTTATATTTAAGTTATACCAGTCCTAGCATCAACAAAAATATTTTATATTGATAGTATTGGTTCTGCTTCAAAATAATGTTTATTATATTCCCGGAATATCATAAAGCTATGCTTCTGTCAGCAAGCCGAAGGACATGATTTTAAGGTCTTTTATGCAAAAGCCTACTTCAAATATACACTCCAGAGCTGACATGAATTTATAGTTCAAGTGTTACCTCTCAAAATGCATACTGCTATGACCCAGAGATATAATGGTATGACTTCTGAACTTTCAAAATTAATTTTTAAGCCTGTGATTTATGCAGCCTCCAATTTTATTTGGAAAAATACATGACAAGACAGCAGGCACTAGCAGTATTTTTTTTATCAGTTTTCTTTTTCTTGTTACTTTTGTAACAATAGATGAAAAATTAGAAACATTATGCACAACTGAAAATGCACATCGTATTTTCACATTAAAACTTACTATCATTTATTATATATTAAGTTACAGGGTTGGGTTCTTCTGTTCAGAAATGAAGTATTTCTGACTGCTAGAAAAAGAAAAAATTATCTAAATATCAAGTAATATTATATCAGTCACAACTATCTTCAAAAACACGAGGACACTAACAACACATACTCACTGATCCCTTATCACCACATAGCAAACTAATATGTCATTAACAAAGAATTGCTTTCTCATACCCAATTCTTGTCTACTAAGTCATAATCGCTACTGTAGTGGAAGAAAAAATACACTTGGAAGAATTTTCCAGATTTAACTTTCCACTGCTGAGATGGAATGAACATGTTCTTGCAAGCAGGCAAAGTTCTTAGGACTCATTTATGATGTAACATGTCAATGACAATGCAACTAACTCCCCCTTATTTCACAACACTGTGATAAACGACTTCAGTCAAGTACCAAGACTGCACTTTGGGAAAAATAAAAAGGGAGTATCTGAAGTATGGTCACACAAAGTAACACAGACACAAAGTATTTTCTTCTACAGATTAAGGCTTCCCTCTTCTGAAACAATACAGATTTCACACGTGTTTTTCTATTCCTTGCTCAGATTCAGTGTCCAGTTCCCACCCACATAAATTTCTGTAAAGGACTCTTCATCAAAACACGTTGATTGGTCAACCAGGAAAAATGCCAATCATGCAAAACATTTAACAGGTTCCCTCATATTACTGACTACACCTATTTACCACACTATCACAAACTTCAAGTAGTAAACAACACTGCTGCCACACACTTTTGTAAACCTCTATATGGAGAAGTGTACTGTGTTGGTAAGGAGAAATATCTTCTCACTGTTACTACAAAAAAAATAATGAATTCATAAGGAAGCTTAAGCTCCTTTTCCTCTAAGAAATCATTCTATTTTGATGAGTTTTGCACAATTTACTATTAAGATACCAGCTTGGGGCAAAGAAATCAGAAAAATAGAGAAATAGAAGTTCCTCCTTTCAATTTGACATATAAATCTGGATTTTTGTCCTAACTACTTTTGGCTCTGACTGGTGTCACACTCACAAATTTATCAAGGACTCAAGGAATTTTGTCCTAAAACAACCCATATACAAATAAAGAATCGGACTTAATCAGATATTTATCACACTGTACTAGTCAAGCTTCCGACTCCTTTGTCGCAAACCTTCCCATGCTGGTTGTGTAACAAGTAAAGATATTTAATATTATGAACAGCTTGAGGCTTTGTAACCATTCAGTTTACCACCAACACTAGTTGCTTTTTATTTGAATGCATAAAGTTTTAGAACCTTTCCAGTAATTGTTTTAAGAAACAACATACTGCTGTACAACATACAATGCACATCTTTCCGATTTCTCAGGTGTTAACATGCTCAGACCCTGAATACGTTTTAAATATTGTCACACAGGAGTATTTTATTGGTTATATATATGCTTTATACATATGCCCCAGGCTTCCATGTTAGACTGTGTTCTCACCACGAATAGTATACCACATAACAAAGTAGATATTGTTTATAAAAGGTAAAAAAATTGCTGATTTTGATCAGTGTGAAAAAGCAAACAAGATTGCTTGGTAGCCAGCAAAAGAAGCCAAAGAAGTGCCACGAAGTAGTAGGTAAGGAACTGAGAACAAAACAAAACATTATAATATCATATGAACAGTACAGTACATCTACAACATAACCTGGTGCAGTTCTGTTAGCCTCAACTCCCCAAAACCAAGTATATGTTGGGATTTTTTTTTTAAACATGTTCTGAAAAGGACCATAAAAAATGATCAAAGATATGCAAATGCTGTCACATGAGAAGCAATTGAGGAGGCCTGAGCTCTTCAGTCTGTAAAGACAGAAGTCACAAAGGTCTACAAGTGATGGAGAAAGGAGGAGGCACAAACTGTTCAGAGTCTACTCCCATCTAAGCCAGAGCCACCATATGAAACTAGCGGAAGCCAGTTTCAACAATAAAATTAAGAAGCTCTACAAGTGAGAGAATTACCTGCTAAAGGACACTCAAAACTCAAAAACAGTTTCAGTGGGACACTGAAATAGTATAGAAGAGATTCACTGTTTCCCCACAGAAAAGCCAGGTCCCTGAGCTACAAATATCTGGAAGCCCAGGAAGGGGGAAAAGACAACTATGTGCTTCCTTTGCTCTAACTTTCCCTGAAGCATCTACTTATGGCCGCTTTCAAACGCAAATTAGTGGGCTAAACAAACCACTTAATGGACAACCAGTTCAGAGATCTCAAGATGAGCACCTTCATTAGATTCATTAAAATCTCAATGTAATGTAATTGAGCCAGATCCAAGTTGGACAGAATGAACACTTTCTAACACAGAAGCTTAAAATGTGAGCACTGGCACTATGTAGTCAACCCCAGAGACACAAAGGTGCTATCCAAGTGTATGGGTTCAGCCAAGTGCTAGAGGTCTTCTCCACCCAACATCTTAGAAGAGAAGTATTTGAGTACTCTTTAACATGCTCCCTTGCCATAAAACCGGAGTATTGTTTCTCATATGCAAAAAAAAAAAAACACTGCCAGGCAGGTTGATGGGAGCTTTTTGCTTTGCTTTTTCAGTTTGGGGTTTTTGCTTGTTTTGAGGTTGTTTGGTTTTTTTGCGGGGGGGATGTGGAGTGGTGTTTTGTTGGGTTTTTTTTTAATGTACATACACTACAGGCATGTTACTTAAAACTGACTTGAAATTACAATCCAGGATACCACTTGCAACCATGTTGCCTCCTCTTTCTGGTGCCACCTTTCCACCTCTTCCTATAAAACAAGTACATAAAAAGGACATGTAGACCTCTGCCCTCATTCTCCTACCTGCAGATTTCTTTACTATACAAACCTTGGAAAATAAGCAATAAATATTAAATATACCTGTACTGTTTTCCATCTACATGACAGAGAGGGGTGTCATTTACAATAAACAGACTTTTTTAGAACAGGCACTTACAAAGATGTTTCACACGTATAAAGATGTTTCTAATATTCCTGTTTTCAGTAAAAGTGAGGCTTAATTTGACATAGCATTCACTGGATTCAGCCCCACTCCTGAAGCACAGAAGGGGCTAAAATCTCCCCTAAAAGCACAGAGACAGAATAGCAAACTCATACACTACTCCTGCAGTCCTACATTCTCCATCCCACAGACCAGAGCCAGCTGGCACAAACCAAAGTAAAGTTCACTTTGGGCTAGCTGAGACTGGACAGAAGGCCAATCAGCTCAGACCATGGGAACTAGGGTTGGCTCCCTACCAGTTCTTCCACCAAATGAATCCTGATGTAGGAGAACTTCTGTGACCTAATAGTAGTGGTATGTACTGATTAACAGGAAAAGAACAATGGAAAAATAGTGTTAGTTTCCACAATAACCCTTGATGACTTTCCTTCAAGAAACTGGAACGGAATCTTTTTTTTAAAGGCATTTTAAATTGCATTAATTTCAATACCCTACATAAAATTAGTTATCACAGTTACTTTTTCACCCAGGGAACATTAAGATAGGCAGGCTGTTTAATATAGTATTTCAGTGGAAGTAGCATACAACAGCTCCCCTTTTAGCCTTTTACCTGTAGATAAGGGAGGGTACCACCTCTAGCAATTTACTGGTGTTTACCTTAACTATGGTAGCAATCCCTTCATTCCCAACAAGGGAATCCTTAAGGGGTTTCTTTCCCCAAAGAATATAATTAACAACCTGCTGTCTCAGCAAAGCAGCAGCAGCAGAGCATTCAGGGCACCTGTAGAATAAAGACACTCCTTACAGTTTAGCTCTTGCTATAAATCTCTGGGAAGCTGGCACTTGCACAGTTCAGATATGACCTGCTCTGAACCCAAAGTCTTTCTTTCCAGTGGTTCTCAGCCTAACACTAAGCATTTGGAATCCTTCTCTTTAAAAAAAAAAAACAAAAAACAAAAAACAAACAAAAAAAAAACAGCCTCAACACACTGCCAGTTTGGAACATTCACTAATGGAACATAATACATTACAAAAATATTTTCCTACTGGTGAAGATGCTCAACAGGTCTAAACTGAAGACTGATATGTTCTATTTTATCACTACTTCAGTCATGTTCCATAATTAAGGAACCGAGAAGTCATGTCTGCAAGTTATTTTTTCCTCCTTGTTTTCTGACACAATTGAAAAACTATCAGCAAACAGAAGAGCTGAGAGAAAAATATGAATAAACATGATACTTATTACAGTTATGGATCACATGTAAGAAGGTGAAGGGTAGACTGAAGATGCCTGCACAATCCCTATCCATACTCTACCTGATGGTTCCCCCCCAGTAGAAAAAAAAAAGCTATTTTATCAGTCTTGATGAAGAGACCAACTGCAAAAACAAGTAAATTCACTTGGAAAAGTGACTCAGCTACACTGTATTGTTTTTAATTGTCATTATAGTCCAGCAAGATAAAAGTTATTAATTCATTACCAAATAAGGAACTGCACACATTTTTGCTGTGGACATGTGATCACACTGTTCTTACATAAGCAAAAGTAGACGGTCACACTCAATGCTTTTTCCGGAGTGTGCTCGTCAAAATCCCACCCAGCTGCTGATTCACCCAGCTAGTTTCACATACAAGGCTGAAAACACACATGCTTAACTGCTGCATAAAGACAAGAACTGGAAAAGATGTCAGAACAACTGTTTAACCTGACAGGAGAATACGTATCAGTAAGTTCACCTACGAGAGGTAGAAATAAAGGCAGCCCTAGTTATATTTATAAGAATGTTCTGTAATAAAAGCCAAAATAGTTGCTCTTTACTCTTTCAAATGTTTCAACCATAGCTTAAATCAGGTTTCTTTATATTCTCTACAGGAATATACCCATCCATAGACAAAAGGCTTACAGGTCTTCTGTTTAAGCTAAACTTATGGAACCTCCTGTTTTCTTGCTCTTCACTCACATCAAGTCTTACCACAACATCCACATGAAACATTCATCCTTTTCCAAGTCAATGCAGCATTGTAACTGAGGGCTCATTTTTAAATACAACTGAGCTTTTACTTATTACACAAATATACTATTAACCACCTGATACTGAAGGGGCAGGCAGTCAGACTATAGCATTCTCTAAGCTGTCATTAGATATCAATTTATTAAAGAAAAATATCTTTGGACATTCACAAACTTCACTAAAAAAAATTCTTTTCCCCAAAACGTGTGTGTATACCACCGTGTGTGTATACCACCGTGTGTGTATACCACCGTGTGTGTATACCACCGTGTGTGTATACCACCGTGTGTGTATACCACCGTGTGTGTATACCACCGTGTGTGTATACCACCGTGTGTGTATACCGCCGTGTGGGTATACCGCCGTGTGGGTATACCGCCGTGTGGGTATACCGCCGTGTGGGTATACCGCCGTGTGGGTATACCGCCGTGTGGGTATACCGCCGTGTGGGTATACCGCCGTGTGGGTATACCGCCGTGTGGGTATACCGCCGTGTGGGTACCGCCGTGTGGGTATACCGCCGTGTGGGTATACCGCCGTGTGGGTATACCGCCGTGTGGGTATACCGATACCGCCGTGTGGGTATACCGCCGTGTGGTGTATACCGCCGTGTGGGTATATACCGCCGTGTGGGTATACCGCCGTGTGGGCATACCGCCGTGTGGGTATACCGCCGTGTGGGTATACCGCCGTGTGGGTATACCGCCGTGTGGGTATACCGCCGTGTGGGTATACCGCCGTGTGGTATACCGCCGTGTGGGTATACCGCCGTGTGGGTATACCGCCGTGTGGGTATACCGCCGTGTGGGTATACCGCCGTGTGGGTATACCGCCGTGTGGGTATACCGCCGTGTGGGTACCGCCGTGTGGGTATACCGCCGTGTGGGTATACCGCCGTGTGGGTATACCGCCGTGTGGGTATACCGCCGTGTGGGTATACCGCCGTGTGGGTATACCGCCGTGTGGGTATACCGCCGTGTGGGTATACCGCCGTGTGGGTATACCGCCGTGTGGGTATACCGCCGTGTGGGTATACCGCCGTGTGGGTATACCGCCGTGTGGGTATACATACCGCCGTGTGGGTATACCGCCGTGTGGGTATACCGCCGTGTGGGTATACCGCCGTGTGGGCGCCGTGTGGGTATACCGCCGTGTGGGATACCGCCGTGTGGGTATACCGCCGTGTGGGTATACCGCCGTGTGGGTATACCGCCGTGTGGGTATACCGCCGTGTGGGTATACCGCCGTGTGGGTATACCGCCGTGTGGGTATACCGCCGTGTGGGTATACCGCCGTGTGGGTATACCGCCGTGTGGGTATACCGCCGTGTGGGTATACCGCCGTGTGGGTATACCGCCGTGTGGGTATACCGCCGTGTGGGTATACCGCCGTGTGGGTATACCGCCGTGTGGGTATACCGCCGTGTGGGTATACCGCCGTGTGGGTATACCGCCGTGTGGGTATACCGCCGTGTGGGTATACCGCCGTGTGGGTATACCGCCGTGTGGGTATACCGCCGTGTGGGTATACCGCCGTGTGGGTATACCGCCGTGTGGGTATACCGCCGTGTGGGTATACCGCCGTGTGGGTATACCGCCGTGTGGGTATACCGCCGTGTGGGTATACCGCCGTGTGGGTATACCGCCGTGTGGGTATATACCGCCGTGTGGGTATACCGCCGTGTGGGTATGCCGCCGTGTGGGTATACCGCCGTGTGGGTATACCGCCGTGTGGGTATACCGCCGTGTGGGTATACCGCCGTGTGGGTATATACCGCCGTGTGGGTATACCGCCGTGTGGCATACCGCCGTGTGTGTATACCGCCGTGTGTGTATACCGCCGTGTGGGTATACCGCCGTGTGTGTATACCGCCGTGTGTGTATACCGCCGTGTGTGTATACCGCCGTGTGTGTATACCGCCGTGTGTGTATACCGCCGTGTGTGTATACCGCCGTGTGTGTATACCGCCGTGTGTGTATACCGCCGTGTGTGTATACCGCCGTGTGTGTATACCGCCGTGTGTGTATACCGCCGTGTGTGTATACCGCCGTGTGTGTATACCGCCGTGTGTGTATACCGCCGTGTGTGTATACCGCCGTGTGTGTATACCGCCGTGTGTGTATACCACCGTGTGTGTATACCACCAAAGTTTAAGTGGATTTTCAGTCATAATCACAGTTTTATGGACTGAAGGGATTAGTAAATTAAAACTTCAACCCTTCAGTTTTTCCTTCCTTCCTCACCCTCGGGTGACATTTACCTTTCTATGCACTTTTTTTTTTCTGACAATGATACATGCACAGTTAGGTTAATAAGTGCTCTGACTCGCAAATTAACAAATACAATTGTTAGATATAATTAAACTACATCAGAAAGAATACTAGTAGGGACCAGGCCTATTTAATTAGGAAGTACACCTATCTAGAAAGTAAAGTTTTTCCCACCTTGAGATTAGAATTCTGTACATTACTGCCTAACTTAAGAAAAATATGTATTTATAGGCTTATTAACAACTTGTAGGCACAATTTTCAGTGCTCTGTTGACAGATGGACACATTCCATCCTCTACAACTACTACACAGCTATTTGTTCTCCTAATTCTCATTCATATGCAACTTCCATGCCTTAGCTCCATCAACCAATTTAAAGTGAGGCCTTTCACACTTCTTCTTCCCACCATTTTCCACCGTCTGGGAGGAGTTTGCAAATGCCAACAGCAAACAAATTCTCTGAGCTCTCAAAGTTTTTTTTCCCATGACATCCACACAAAAACATCCACCCCCCCACCCCACCCCCCGAACAAGTCAGAATCTGAACACTGATGACCACATTATCACGCTGACTCATATTATCCAACTGCCTTTTGTACTACATTCTTTCTATATGGCGATCCACACTGTCTCATTGCATACTTCAGCAGTATTTAAGGAAGACATGCATGTTCTCAGATCTACCCTTCTGTATTTCATAGAACCACAGAACAGTTAGGGCTGGAAAGGACCTTAAGATCATCTAGTTCCAAGCCCCCTGCCATGGGCAGGGACACCTGGAACTAAATCATGTCACCGAAGGCTTTGTCCAACCCGGCCTTGAACACTGCCAGGGATGGAGCATTCACAACCTCCCTGGGCAACCCATTCCAGTACGTCACCACCCTAACAGGAAAGAATTTCTTCCACATATGCAATCTAAACTTCCCCTGTTTAAGTTTTAACTCATTACCCCTTGTCCTTTCACTACAGTCCCTAATGAAGACTCCCTCCCCAGCATTCCTATAGGCCCCTTCAGATACTGAAAGGCTGCTATGAGGTCTCCATGCAGCCTTCTCCAGGCTGAAAAGCCCCAACTTTCTCAGCCTATCTTCATATAGGAGGTGCTCCAGTCCCCAGTCATCCTTGTGGCCCTCCTCTGGACTTGTTCCAACAGTTCCATGGCCTTTTTATGTTGAGGACAACAGAACTGCACACAATACTCCAAGCGAGGTCTCACAAGAGAAGAGTAGAGGGGCAGGATCACTTCCTGCGACCTGCTGGTCACGTTCCTTTTGATGCAGCCCAGGATACGCTTGGCTTTCTGGGCTGCAAGCGCACACTGCCGGCTCATGTTAATTTTCTCATCAACCAACACCCCCAAGTCCTTCTCCACAGGGCTGCTCTGAATCTATTCTCTGCCCAACCTGTAGCTGTGCCTGTGATTGCTCCAATCCAGGTGCAGAACCTTGCATATGCCACGGTTAAACTTCATGAGGTTGGCATCAGCCGACCTCACAAGTGTGTGTGGGACTCACAAGTCCCTCTGGATGGCATTCCTTCCCTCCAGCGTATCAACCGAACCACGCAGCTTGGTGTCATCGGCAGACTTGCTGAGGGCGCACTCAATTCCACTGTCCATGTCAGTGACTAAGATGTTAAACAAGCCCGGTCCCAACACCGATCACAGAGGGACACCACTCGTTACTGGTCTCCAGCCGGGCATTGAGCTATTGACCACAACTCTTTGCATATGGCCATCCAGCCAGTTCTTTATCCACCGAGTAGTCCACCTATCAAACTAATGTCTCTCCAATTTAGAGACAAGGATGTTGTGTGGGACAGTGTTGAACACAATTTGTGACACACCTAATGAAATTTAATAGCCTTCTGTAAGCTAGCCAAAATCCTAGTCACATCAGCCTTTTACTGCTCAACTGTCCTTCAAGCCCAGAATCAAATTTGCTCGTAGACATCAACAGCACCAGTAGGGCAAATCCCCCTTCTTCCCTTTAAAGTTTTACTATTAGATTTCCTTTCAGCAGCTCCAACCCAATTCTAGCTTT